ATCATCTTTTCCCATACGATTACATGTAAAACCAAATAATTCGTTCCAACGCGAAAAACATACTCAAATTAAAGCCAAGTAATACATTTAAAAAAATAACTGTAGTAAGAAAAACAAATGAAAAATGCGAACTAATGTAACGTCGTATGGTGAGTTTTTGTTCGTATCGTGGAGCAAAAATATGTTCAAATTTCATGTCATATCCTGAAAATTTCGTATGCTGGGGCGTTCGTAACCTGAGGTACCACTGTATTCAAAAATTAATAAAAGTATAAAGAATATATTTCATTTAGAAAATTTTTACATTATTGTATAATTATTGGAGAATAATATAGAAAATGCAATTAACAATAAAATATTAGAAATATTCTCACGTCAGTAAGGTAACTTCTAGAAAAACATTCTCAATTAAAAACTGTAATAAATTCTTACCTGGCAGTTTGCATAAAATCTATTATTATTAAATATGCATCCAATAGTTTTATACGGGTACTTCACTTGATTTAATTCATCATCTTTTATTACAGAAGTATAATTATATCTGTCTTTGAAAACAAAAATATTTGAATTTTTAAATGAACTATTAAGATGATTTAATTTATATATATCTCAATACTGTACCTAGCAGCAGTAAGACTATTCCAGAATATAATTTGCTTACGTCTTCCAATTGTCATTACCCAGGAACAAGGCTGATCTGTTTTTAATGTCCCTAAGCAAACATAAGCATCTAGGCAAAAACCTAATAAGAGTGAGCAAAGTAAAACAGAATGATCTTCATAATCCTGCAAAGAAAATATACAATAAATCTATTGTTACAAACAATTAATAATAAAAAAAAAAAAAATCAAAAATTACTTACACCCTCTTTTACGGAGAGAAATGTAGAAAGATTTTTCCATTGTTCATATTTTGTCCTATCAATATTGGTGTAGATAGATAAATTTTGTTTAAATAATGATATAAACCAAGCAGCCTCTCTGGGGGTTTCCAAAAGCCTATTTGTAGTGAGTGGAAATACATAACTAAACACAGGCCGAACAACTGCATTTTCATCTTGGGCAAAAATTTTAACAAGTCTTTGAGTATGTTCTGGTCTCATTTCAATATATTCTTTCCACCAAAGTTTTGCATAAGCAAGAAAAAGACGATCCCGTTCAGTTTTTCTGTTGTGTTCTAATGCTAACTGAGCTGAGACTATATTAGCTTGTAAAGGAAAAGTTAAAGATGGTTGCAATTCTAGATATAATTCTAACATTCCAGCAGGAACTTTGTTTTCAACTCCTAAAATAAATTTATATTTTAATAAAAAATTTGCTGAAATAATATATATTTGTTAAAAGAAACTTTATTAATTTATAAATAAAATTACCAATCCCTGAAAGTTCAATTGCCAAGCTCATCTTAGAGCCTACTTTAGTTAGTATTTGACGCCATTCCAAAAAGTATGATGATACTAAAAACTGATTTTGATCAGAATCTACTTTTGTTAATATAATATGTATTGGGTCATTCTTTGATAAGAGTGTGCTAGAATCAAATGATAAATTTCCTCTATCTGAAATTAAAAATAGTAAATCCCAGTAAAAGACATTTCTATTGTGTATAATTTTATTTATTACAAAATAAATTTATTTTGTAATAAATAAGATTTAATAAATAAATATAAAATTAAAAATAAGATTTAATAAATAAGAAATAATAAAATTTTTTAAAGATCAAATTTATTAGTCACAATATAAATTTAGAACAAAACTTTACAAGAACTAACTTCTAAATGAAAATAAAATTTTCACTTAAAAATTAGTTAATTTTCTTTATAAGAAGATATATAAAATAGTTAATGCTTTTCATAATTAAAACAAATAGTGAGAAAATATAATATTCCTACTATTATTGTAAGAAGTTTCTCACTTTATAATTAGCAGATAGAGGTCTGCATAATAACTTTGAATCTTCATTCTAGTATTACATTTGAAAATTGCATCAGTTAAACTCAATATTAAAAATATTCAAGTACCGTATTTACTCGCATATAGAACAAGGTTTTTATCCATTTTTCACTGCTTCAAAAACCTAGGTCATCCTATACGTGCGAGCGAAGGATTCTTTTTGTTTCTGTATAACTTTTGTAAACTATGTATTTGCATATTTTACCAGATTCTCACCTTCTGGTGTTTAAAAACAAAAGTATTTTATCTAGCTCATTTGAATCGTCCTTGTGTATTGCCAGGAGTAAAGATGAATAGCAATAAGAAAAGCAAAGCTTTTAAATTGAATTCCAAAATTACACAGGAGCCCTATATAAGTTTTAATACATTTCCACATGAAAACAGATGATTATTTGGAAATTCGAAGAAACTCATAAATGTAATTGATGAAGAGTGAATTTGACTGTTAAGAATTAGCAAAAAAGATTCTCGATTCTCCAGCTTTACATAAACAAATTATGTTGTCAATTTTACAAGATTTTTCCTTGAAGTTTAAGATGCCAGTAATTTTTGCTGGACAATGTGTGCATTTATGTGTATTTCATATTTTATTTGTTATTAAACGAAATAAAATTAAAATTGTATTAATAAATCTAATTTTCTTTATTTCGACCTTTAAAGTCACACCTTGTCCTATATGCGAGATTGTCTTATATTTGAGTAAATACAGTATTTATGTATTATAAATTTTTAATACAATATAATTTTATTAAAAATATATATATGCAATCATAACAACTGAAAAATAAATGATAGAAAATTATTTATTATGATCACTCTTGATCTTTATCTGAGGCAAAAATATATAAAGGGAATATATATAACCTTTATATGTATACTGTGTATGTATACATATACAGACATACTCCAGGTTACGACCATCTCATGATAAAACAAACCACAGATACAATCATCATATATTTCTACTGCTACCACGATCCAACTCAGCTATCCACACCAATACAATGATTTATCTGTAACTACTTGAAACTAATTGCATATCTTAAGCCTTTATAATAATCTTTGGACTAGGAACAATTTCTCAGTAAAAAAAAAATAACTAAAAGACAAATTAAAATTAACTGAAAAGTAATTCCTTTATATATCATTAATAAAAAATAGTTTTTTCTGCTCAGCAAAGATCACTAAAATACAAACTTTACATTCACTGCACATGTTTCCTATCCAAAGCACTTCTATGACAGATATAAGTAATGGTACTTTTTTGGGACATCATATTAGAAATAAAAAAGAACTTTTAATCAAAATATATGCTAGAATTTTCTTACATTTTACTTTGTAATATTTCTTCATAAATGTGAATCTGTTTTATAATGTATATGTAGAATGGTTCATAAAAATTAACTATGTTTTCAGTCATTAAAATTTGTTTGTAAAAATAAAACAATATCCATTTTTATGCTAATTATAAACTGAATCTGTATTTTAAAATCTCTTTTAAGATGTATATTCAGTTTATTAATTAATTTAAAACTATGGATTTACTTTCTTAATCAAACACATTTATGTAAAACAGAACATCAAGTGAGAATGTTTGCTTCATATCCAAAAAATAAAATATTAAACTGTTGCTAGTTTTATATTCATACTAGCAGATGAGCCCAGTGTTTATTGAACAAAAAGTAACAATAGCAAAGATTAACATTATTAGATTATAGCCAATCTTACCTGTTTTCACTGTGTTCAAGAATTAGGTACCTCCTCTTCCTAAACTAATTAGAAAATTTTTAGTTATCTGCTTACCACACTGGGATAACAATAATTAAGACTCACTGCAACCACTAACTGGTGGTAGTACCACTAAGTGATGAATAATAAACATTTTTGTAACTCTTTCTGGGTTCTTCTTCAGGTTTACTAAATTTGAAAAATAAGCTGGATCTTCCAGAATCATTCATAAATATAAATTTGAACATAAAATCGAACATTAAGATGAAGAGTTTGAATAAAGCAAACTTATGCACAGGCACTCCCCATGTCAACTTTATATACAATGGAACACTAAACATTGTTGAGAATTTTTAGAAGGGTCGAAAAATATGTTTTATTTCCAACATAAATGCTACAAAAGGCATCTAAAATAGTAGAGTAGAAGCTGAGTTCTTCTGGATAATCTTTAACTCTCTCTCTCCCCACAGTGGGAATTTCAAAAAATTCCTTCTTAATATGCATTCTCATGGCATACCCTAACTGTGTACCAAATTTCAATTTTCAACTCCTAACTGTTTGGGCTCTGTGCTTATTATTATTATCATTATCAACCCATCTTGATTATATTATAAGATATGTTTGTTATCTTTCAAAATAAACAAACATGTCACTGCAAAGCAATTTTGTCTAATAAAAAAAAAATAATTTTTAAAAACGTTTATATCTAATAACTGTAACAATACATTTAAAATGCAAGTATCATTAAAATATTATATTTTAAATTAAAATTTTATATTTATTTATTAAATCTTATTTATTACAAATTTTCAATTATTTATTATAATTGATTTTAATTTATTAAAATCAATTATAATAAATTTAATCATCATATTAACAACAAAGAATTAAAAACATCAGTTCCATTAATCTCAATTATTATAATTAATAAATTGTTTAAAAATAAACATTTACCATTTTTATGTAGAAATAATTTAATATCAAAGGAAAACTCAGGCTCACAGGTCGCAGGAGTTGGATGAGATTGGAATCTCTGACCACAAAAATAAACATATAAAAGAAGATATGATGCTGATTTTCCACTTAGAATAGCTGGTTCCAATAAATATTCAACAAAGGCTTTTCCTCTAATTACATGAAATCTTAAATAATGATTGGATTCATTTTTCTGTTCTATTAAAAAGCAATCTAAAAAAATTTCAAAATATTTTATTAAAAATGAATAATGTTTTTAAAAATTCAAATTATTTAAATTTTATTTATTTAAAAACTATACAATAGCTTTTTCATTTCTAAATTATCTACTTGGACTTTATTTAGAAATATGACTTATTATACTGGTGTAGTTTCTGATTAGCAAAGAGAGGAAATCTTAGTCAAAAGGTAAAACAAAATATCTTTATTTTCACCTGTACACTCTTTTTGTGTGTTTTGACCTGTAAGCTCCTCTTCAGCAGGTGTATAGTACAATATTCTATGTTGTACACTTGCTTATGTTAAGCTCTGTTTTTTTGGATATTTTATGTCAGTATTAGTGTTGTATTAATATTGGATAATAAAGAAAATGTAAGTAATTTTATTTTATCTCAAACATTGTTGGGTGTAATATCACTGTTTAAACTGTTTTATACAATTATTATAGAACATTGTACACCTGCTGAAGAGAGATCTACAGGTTCTAAACACAAAAAAGAGTGTACAGATGAAAATAAAGATATTTTGTTTTGACTTTTAACCAAACTTCCTTTCTCTTTGCTAATCAGCAATATATCAGTAAAATAAGTGCTATTTATATGTTGAATAACTTTTGCTTAGTAAATATTATTTATTTATTATAAAGATTTTTTAACTTACCATAGTCATATTTTTGTTAAAACAATTGTTATGATTATTTTTAAAATTATAATGTTATCAATCATTCATGAATAATAAATCACTATTATATAAAAGCAATCCCCTCCATAGTTATCTCCATCTTGCCCTGATGGAGGATTTGCTGATACTGATGGTCCTGTGATCTATGTCAACAGTAGCTTAGCTACTAGTAGGATTTTCCAGCTTGGACAGATTAAAGGACCTTACCCTGGTTCTTCAGGTTGGGTACTGATTATAGGACTAACAACCTATCTTGAAAAACACTATTTGTTATAAACCTTGCCAAATAGTTAATAGGACTGACTCTGGATAATTGGCCTAGGCTACAAAATAAAGGACTGGAGTTTATGATTTGGTACAGTACTGTAACTGGAATGTTCTGAGCATATACAGGCCTAGAACTTGCCAAAATAACTTACTCTTAAAAAATTGGTTAAGTACAAACTTAGTATTGCAGCAATCCAGGAAATAAGATATTGATACTAAGTCAATGAAATTTCAACAATTCACTGTGTTGTAAGGAGTGGCTACTAAGCATTGCTTTCATTATTGCAAACAAGTACAGTAAATACATGTTCTTCTCTGACAAGCTGTCATATATTAAAGTGGTTTAATTTGTCAAGATTGGGTAATTTTTTAGAATACGCTCCCAGTCATTCAATGAAACCTAATGATATGTGTTAAAATGTTAAAGTCATAATTTTTTACCATCCTATATGACTTCATTTCTCCAGCCTACGGACTAAGGAGTGATTTCAACATTGGAAGTCTATTAACTATGTAACACTTTTAGCCAGCAATTGAAAAATGTCAGGAGAATTTTTGATAGGATTTTGGGAAAATTTTAGCATGAAATGCTCTTGAAAATATTGATGAAGCATAGAAAGAAGTTACTATAACAAACATGAGAGCTGTTTGGAAAAAACTTATTCTTGAATGCACAATTGATTTCAAAGGTTGACTCTGAAATTAGCTAATGGCACACTAAAAATTACACAAAAATTATATTGGATTTGAAGTTAACTAAAATAGTATATATTTTAGTTAACTCCAAATCCAATATTATTTTTTGTTCAAGAATTCCAATTTGAAGATCCAATATCCAAGAAATCCAATATGAAGATGTTCAAGAATTGTTCCAGTCCCAAAATAAATGATCTTATCGAAGAAGAACTTATGAATGTTCAATAACAGTGAGCTGAGAAATAAAAATGCAATTTGCTGTTATTAAGTCATGTAACAAAAAAAAAAACCAAAAATTTTTGAATCAAAATGTCTCCTACATTATTTTTCTGAAAAATAGCCCATATGATTTTTTTGTTTAATAATAATGTNTTTCCTTTGGTATATGCAATACATACTATTTGTATTTATTTTTTATTATTACATATTATTGATATTGCCTAATATTTATAATTTTATGCTGTATTCTATCTATATCAAGAAGACAAATAGCACTTTACTAAATCAACAGATAAATGAATTTATTGTAACTGGCTGAAAATATTTATAATTTTATGCATAATTTTGGAAATTCTTATTAATCATCTCTTATTTTCCATATGTTATTTTTCTCAATTATTGTGGTGTTTTTCTAGATAACATTAACCACAATAATTGGGGTTTCCCTGTACTACAGAGTTCTCATCAAAACAAATTTCTACAACTTTTAAAGCTAAAAATTTACTGTATCAACTACAATTTATGGATATGAGGTATGGTACTCTCTGACAAGTAGAAAACAGTTTATAAACCTTTGAGAATAAAATCTTAAAATTGTGACCCAAATGATACAAGTAAACAGAGGAGTGAAGAAGACTGCACAACAAAGAATTGATTGGAAAATATAATAGTGACACATTACCTAGGTAATAAAGAAATGTATATTGAGATAGCCTGGACATGTGGCTTGAAATGACCAGGTAAAGCATACAGGGTGCATAGGAAAGTCCCTTTAACCGGAAAATTCTTGCAAATGGAGAGAACTATAGCTATGCAAGTGAGGTAACGGTATAGTAAAGTGACTATGCCCAACCTAATGCAATCGACAGCAGTGCCCCTAGTGGCAAAATTTGGAAGATAGACAGTGAAAATCAAAAACGAAAACAAATAGAGCAAACTTCCCAATTAGAAAGTTTTAGAGCATCAATTACTTAGTACGAAACAACATGTGGTTCACACAGATAAGATAAATTGTCACCTGTATACCCAAAAATGTCCAAAAGCGATGCACGCCATTTTGTGTAAACGTTTGAAAGGAATAGCCATAGGCACGAAGAAATATGCACAATTTATTGCATAAAATATGTACAGTACTTATGTCAATACAGTTTGATAACATCACACAAAAAACAACGGAAAGACAAACTATCATACAGTGATAACAAGTTTTAATGTAGAGTACATTCGAAAAGTTTGCCATTGCTCACGATACATGCCATTGTTATCAAACTGTATTGATGTAAGTACGTATTTTATGCAATAAACTGTACGTATTTCTTCATACCTACGGCTATTCCTTTCAAATATTTACACAAAATGGCGTGCATTGCTTTCAGACATTTTTGGGTACACAGGTGACAATTTATCTTATCCATGTGAACCACATGTCGTTTTGTACTAATTAATTGATGCTCTAAAACTTTCTAATTGGAAAGTTTGCTCTATCTGTTTTCGTTTTCGATTTGCACTGCCTATCTTCCAAATTTCGCCACTAGGAGCACTGCTGTTGTTTGCATTAGGTTGGGCATAGTCACTTACTATACTGTTACCTCACTTGCATAGCTGTAGCTCTCTCTGTTCGCAAGAATTTTCCGGTTAAAGGGACTTTCCTATGCACCCTGTATACATTAGCTCCTTACAAGCATGTAAATAGGAAAGAGATTACTGGGATGGCCATCTCTCAGATAGGAGGTGAAAAAAAAACAGATGTTAATAATGGCAGGAAGAAACAAAATGAAAGTAAACTGAACAAGATAGAGCTGCTGGAGATCAATTGTCAAGGTGGTCAAGGACTTATGATCTGACCACCAAGGAGAAACAGAAATATATTAAAATATTTATTGAATATATTTACAAGATTAATGTTGGCACTACTGTTATCTTGAAGAAGGAATTAAATATAAAAACTGTGTTCATATTAAACATACATTATTTACTTAAATTTTATTGAAGTACAGGTATCCCTTGTATAACATGGTAGTTACATTCTGAAAAAATGCTGTGTTATGTGAATCCATATTATACAAAACAAAGGACTAGTGCAAAACATAGGGTTAGGTTCTAAAAGTTAACAAAAGTATACTCATCTTTTTCATTACTAAGAGAAGTATGTTTATTAACACAATCAATAATTTATTTCCAATTGATAATTAACTAACAGTCACAATTAAAAGTACTGTATTACACATTAATATTAATTTTAGCTAAATGAGGGTGTTTTCTTTTTAAAAAGAATCACCATCTTCTGAGCTTTTATGTTCAGGCCCGCCGTAAGCGGGCGTGCAAGGCGTGCACCGCACGCGGGCGGCAAATCGAGCGATTGGTTACGTAATATTCAAAGTCATTGTGATAATACCCACCCTACTTATACCATAAGAAATGTCTTCGCATGAAGAAAAAAATTCTGACCGGCGCGCAATTATTATATTTTTATTTATATTATAGCGTTAAAGCGCCTCTATTGGCATTTATCAGAATTAAGATGCAATGCGAAACGTCTGTCGGCAGGTTGAAGCATCCAGCGGCGCCCGGAAGCCAAGTACTCATAGTCGTGCTCTATGACAGAAGTTGATAGGACTGGTGATAATAGAGAATCCCCACAGAGCTTCCTTCTCAATTTGTACTTGTACGCATTCGAACAGTTCTATCGCATATCAAATTGCAATTATTTTGTAAATAATTTTTCTGACATGGGTCTAAGTATAATTAATATTTTAACTTGGCTAGGATTTAAATCTGAAGCTTAAAGACGATTCAAGTAGTGAAACAGACATTGACAGTATTGATTTGTTTAATGAAATCAATACTTTAAAGTTGCATTTTCCAGAAAACCAGTCTAATGATCCACAAACCCCATTACAATATCTTTTTACTGACGACTTAATTTCAACAGTTCCAAACACAGCAATAGCACTAAGAATATTACTTACATTGCCGGTTTCAGTTGCATTTGGTTGAAAGGTCCTTTTCAAAGTTAAAAATTATAAAAAAACTAAGATCAACAATATACCAGCAAAGACTAAGTAATTTAGCTATAGTTTCAATTGAACACGAAATCTTAGACAGCTTGGATACAAGAAAATTGATAGCAGATTTCACAAACGTAAAGGCAAGAAGAGTTAAATTTCTGTAAATAAATATTTATATGGTTTTACACTTAAGTAAACAAAAATAACTTAGTAATAATAAATAGTTTTTCTTTATAAAGTATTTCTTTTCTTTTTTCACACCCTTATGAGCCTTACAGCAAGCTCAACGTAGGTAGTCGTAGTTAAACAGGGGGCAGCATAATCGGTATTGCACACGGGCGTTCAAACAGCTAGCGGCACTCCTGTTTATGTTGATCTTGATCAGAAATATCAGCAACATCTTCATTTTTTTATTTTTATCATAAAAAATTTTTATGGATAACAAAATAAAAATTTATTAATCAAAATTTGGTTTTTTTATACCTCAGTGAATTTAATTATGTAGAACAACAATTTTTACATAATTTATAATACTGTTAATATACAGTATTTTGCATTAGATTTAAGAATAAAAATGAGTATTATTATAGACAAAATACAGTATTATAATGTAAGATAAACTATTAATATTACATTTTAATGTTAATAGTTTGTTTACATAAAAAGTTAAATAATAAAAGGTAACAGAAACAAATCATTTTGTAATACATGTTTCATTATAAACTTTCTTTTTTAAATTACAGTATAAGAAAAATAGTGTACTCACAGATTCATCTTAAATAATTGAGATTCTACTATATATGGAAAAGAAATATTTTATTTGTTTTATTATATATTAATATCTAACCTTGTTTTGTTGTTTTTTCACTAGATTTGGATTTATGAATTTGTGATGATTGTTTTAAATTTTCAGAAGCTTTAACAGAACTGGATTTTTCTTCTTTGGCATTTTTCATATTAAAGTTTTTCAAAATTTCTTCAAAAACACCTTCTTTCTTTATTATTGAATATAATTCTTCTTTTTTAAGTTCTTTTTTATTTACATTAACTACATTTTCTTCTTGTTTTTGTTGAGAAAGCAAATCTAAAATTTTAGTTTGAATGCCTGTCTGTAAATAAAATACTTTGTTTTAATTTTTAACACAGAATGCTCAACTTTTAACTTTTGATAAATTTATTTATTCATTTTTAAAATTAATATTCATATCCATATACAAATCTATAAAAATGAATTAATTACAACATTAATTAATATGAAATCATCAATTAATTAATAATTTCATATTATCAATACTTAATTTAAAGCTAAATAAAATAAAAATAATTAAGGTTTTAATTTATTTACTTTATCATCAATTGCTGATTATTTAAAATTATAAAACAAAAGTTATTATTGTAATATTTTAAAAGATTCTTTCAGCACAACTTTAGATCTATTAATAACTTTCATTATTTATCAACTCATCATCTATTAATAAACATTCATTTCTGAAACTTTGTATTGGCTTTAAAAATTATATGTATTCATATATTGCAATTTTAATAGTATTTTGTTATTGGAAAGATTCATTGGTAATGATGAAATGGTTATATGGAGATGCTAAATGATCAAGATTGTTAAGGTATAAGCCTTCTGCTCTGGGAGCCCAGAATTAAATTCTAGTGAGAAACCCCAGGAATTTTCAAGAGTGCCTGTCCTAGATATGTTGAGCCCAGTCCCTCACCACTTGATTGCCCTCATTGTGGGCCTGATTGAGTCCACAATGAGCAGATTAAAAGATCCTCTTAAAGCCTATAGGGTAAACAGAGAATAACAAAAATTAATTATATAGGCATATCTACCCAATTTACATCAATTATATTAAGTAATGACTGATGAGAAACTTATTTAGACAATAACTTTGATAACATTATGATATTTTAATTAAAATTTACCAAAAACCTTTGAATTTAGATGTAGAAAGATTAGCTAATTACACAACTAATAAGTATCTAATATTCATTATTGAGTTTGTTTGATAAATATCAAGCTATTTTAATTTTGACAAAATTGCAAAGATTTTAGATTTTATGATTCTTTATTGTATCAAGAATTATCATTGTAAGTATAAAAAATATTTCCAATATTGTTTATGATGTCTGAGAAAACAATCTCTTTTGTCAATATCACCAATTAATTTGTACTCAGTGACAAAAGAGAATGGCACTATCAATTTTATGCTATTGTCATAATTCAAGCACAAGAAATTTGACTAGATCATTCGTTAATTTCATAGAATTGTTCTCACTGCACAGAGTAGGATCTCTTTATTAGGAAATGACCATTTTATGTGACAAAATGACAAAGGGACAAATGAATACAATGTTCAATGTTTAATTACAGTTTTAGTTACACTTAATGATTTATCTTGAAACTTATTAAATTTAAGAATAGTTTATAACCCTGCTAACACTAGGCAAAGGCTCAAGGACCATGGTATTTCGAATTCTATAAAAATCAAAAAAATTATTCAAAAATAATTTTGTGCAATAATAGACACTCCATCAGTGGCATGCTGTGCCATTTGACAATAGGGAAGCTGTGTTTCCATAAAAGTTTTAAACAAATACTGGAAATGACAAGAATAAACAGTTTATTTATTTTAATTCTAAAATAGATAATTGACATGAAACAAAGATATAAGAACTTGTTTTTATTATTTTTTTATAAACTANCCCTGCTAACACTAGGCAAAGGCTCAAGGACCATGGTATTTCGAATTCTATAAAAATCAAAAAAATTATTCAAAAATAATTTTGTGCAATAATAGACACTCCATCAGTGGCATGCTGTGCCATTTGACAATAGGGAAGCTGTGTTTCCATAAAAGTTTTAAACAAATACTGGATATGACAAAAATAAACAGTTTATTTATTTTAATTCTAAAATAGATAATTGACATGAAACAAAGATATAAGAACTTGTTTTTATTATTTTTTTATAAACTAATTCTACCCGGCAATTTTTTCCACAAAGTCATTAATTATTTTATCATAAAAATCACTTGTCGTTGATTCCATCAAAGAATTTAAAAGCTCTTTTTATATTGAAAGCAATGCTAGTGACAACAATCTTTCCTCTGACTGAGTGTTCCTTGCCAATGTATCAATTCGCTTCATGATTAAAAAACTGCAATCAACAGATGCATTCATAAATGGTACTGTTCAAATTAATGATATTAAATCATATAATTCTTTTAGTACATCTTTGTTCACATCGTCATTAATTATAATATTTTTTAATTCTAAGAGTGATTTGCCAATATATTCTGGACACAAATATAAATATTGCAATTTACTATGTAATTTAGATAAATCAAAAAATTCTCCATAAAATTTACTTAATTTAAAGAATTAAAACTTGCTTTGAAAAATTGTTTTTCACAATATTTAAAATTATTAACATCTAAAAGCAATAAAAATTCTAAAGATTTTATGTCTGAAAATTTGTCAATATAATTATAATTTTAAAAAATTATAATTATATATTAATTATAATTTGAAAAAATTATAATTAAATAT